AGTGTGTCAAGTAGGTATTATACTACTGTGTCAAATGGACTAAGGCTTTTTTGTTGTTTGTGAAATAGGAATAATAATACCCACATCAAAGGGTTATTGTGAGAATTCAGTAAAGGCCAATGTTATTTTTGCATTCATTTTATATTAGCTTTTGCAGGGAAGAAGATAAAATTCAGTGAACATTTATATTATTGTTAATTGTTACTTTACACTCCTCAGTTAGTACCGCCTACAGAGAACCTTCTAAATGTTTTAGTGTCAAGATTTTTATTTGTACTATTTTGGCCTCAAAGTAAAACATCTGCCTGATTAAAGGATAAAACCCTGCTTTTAAAAATTATGGAGCAGGGCTTCCCTGGTGGCGCAGTGGTTGAGAATCTGCCTGCTAATGCAGGGGACACGGGTTCGAGCCCTGGTCTGGGAGGATCCCACATGCCGCGGAGCAACTAGGCCCGTGAGCCACAACTACTGAGCCTGCGCATCTGGAGCCTGTGCTCCACAACAGGAGAGGCCGCGATAGTGAGAGGCCCGCACTTGCCGCAACTAGAGAGAGCCCTCGCACAGAAACGAAGACCCAACACAGCAAAAATAAGTTAATTAATAAACTCCTACCCCCAACATCTAAAAAAAAAAAAAATTATGGAGCAAACCAAGTTCAGTTAAAAACACAGGACAGAGTAAAGAATAATTTCAGATGTCTTCAGATCATTTTTTTAAGTTTTGGCATGGAAAGTGATTAGATATTGTGGTTGATGCAATGTCACATGATGAAAATTGCACCATTTTTGGCAAATCTCTATTTTTATTGGTTTGAATTCCTCTTTGCCTAGAGCAGTGCAGGACAATTTCCAAAATAGCATCATGAATCCAACAGCCCATAGTTATAGCAGTCCCCACAGCCCTTTTCTCTTTCAATTCACACATTCTGATTTTAGAAAACACCACACTGAGAATGAATCCTTGAAATCTGCTGAGGCTGGTGGCTGAGAAGATAGGAGTGTAGGTAAAAAGCTGCAGGTACAGTAAGCTATCTCTACACAAGTCAACTCTCATCTGTGCTTCCTTTTATACTAGCTCCATATGAAAGCTATAAGATCACTCCATGGTGAGCTCTTCAGTTGACTTATAGTTTACTTGTGAGCTGTCGTTTTTGGCTTCTTGTGAACTAAATTGGTTCATGGACTATTGCCCAAAAGAACAAGAAGAACAAGAAAGAGAAGGAGAAAGAGGGGCAGGTGAAGGGGGAAGGGAAGGGAGAGAATATATCTCTACAGTACAGTGCTCATTTTTAAAATATTTTCAATTTTTTATATAATTTTTAAAGGTTACACTCCATTTACAGGTATTAGAAAATATTGGCCATATTCCCTTGTGTCGTACAATACATCCTGTAGCCTTACACCCAGTAGTTCGTGCCTCCCACTACCCCCCCCCATCGTGACCCTCCCCCAGCCCCCACTGGTAACCACTAGTTTGTTCTATCTGTGAGTCTGCTTCCTTTTTTGTTGTATTCACTAGTTTTGTTGTATTTTTTAGATTCCACATATAAATGATATCATACAGTATTTGTCTTTCTCTGTCTGACTTATTTCACTTAGCATAACACCCTCCCAGTCCATCCATGTTGCTGCAAGTGGCAAAATTTCATTCTTTTTTATAGCTGAGTAGTGTTCCATTGTACATATATATGTATATATATCACATCTTCTTTATCCATTCAGCTGTCGATGGACACTTAGGTTGCTTCCATATCTTTGGCCCTCATTTTTTATCTCCAGGAATAAGAATATTTCAGCTTTCTTTACACCTCAGAGTAGTGATTTCTCCCATTTAGTACATACTTGTACTAAATATACACTAGCAAACCTTCTTTTTGATTAAGGAAAAAAAATTTTTAATAGAAAGCAACATGTTGAAGGGTTATGACAAAAGAAACACAACTCTTTCTCACTGGTAATTCTATTAAATAATTATTTATTGAGCACCTGCCATGTATGAGGCACTGTGCTAGGTTGGCATCAGCATATACATGAATAAACTGTAACAACTGGAAAGGACTCTAAGATATCTAGAACAAACTCTCATTTTATAGACATTTAAACTCTAGTCCTAAAGGAGAAAGTGACTTATACCAAGTAACATGTGTAGTTACTTATAGCCGAGACTAGAATACAGTCTCCTAGAGTAAGATAGGATCCCAGATCTCATAAATATAATTTTCAGTATATAATTTTCTCATTGTAAAAGTGATGCTTACAGAGAGCACTGAGTAAAAAGAGTGGATTGAACACATGAAATTACTTCCAGCCACTCCTAAAACCCCACAAAAACTATAGCAAAGGGATGTTTGTAAGGCATGGACCAACATGGACAGGGAAAATGTAAAAAGAGACAAAGGCAAAATTTGGGCAACTGGGGAAAAAATAAGGGTTCATTGACCTAGTGGACATAAAAATCAGAGCGAGGTCATTTCCCTGGCTGTGCAGGTTGTATCCAGCTGAAATTCAGTGCCCACTGCTCACTCAGCCTACAGAGTGAAAGCTTCCTCCAGGTGGTGCTGAGTGCAGCCTACACAACAGCAAGCCACAGCCCTGCGGAGAAAACAAGTGCGAAGCAGGAAGGAGCATCCTAGTTTGCATCAAAGAATTCCCCAAAGGTCAGGGATGGAAGGTACCAGATGGCTCTGGAGAGGAGGATAAATGGGAAGGAAGTACACACACACACAAAATAAAGATGGGCTATACATACAGGTATAGATACAGATATAGATATGGATGTGGATACCGATATAGATATAGATATTTAGCCAGCCTAGAATGTATACAGTATGAGGCAGGAATCCAGTTTCACCTTTTTCTAAATGACTAGTTTTATTGAATTTTTGTTGAATGTCACCATTTTCAAAGACTAAATACTGTACTTATATCTTCCAAGATCTGCTTCCAAAGTTTTATTCTACCCATTGATCTGTCTACATTTCTATGAACCTCATGCACTTTTGGGTCTGGGAAACATTTTAGATCTCAGTCTTTAGGTATATCCCTGTGAAATACCTCATTTCTCTAAAACTGATTCTAAGACCATAACTCTTTGTTAGTTCTCTGTTTGTCTCCTTTTAAACATCTGAAGAATTCACTACCCTTCATGAAACTCATATATTTTTCTTAACTGCACTTCAACATGAAATAAATTATATCAATGATTATGAGAGCAAAAGTGTATTATAACCATCCACATTCTTTAGCACTTAAATGTTTTGTTGGTCTTTTAATTGCGTATTTCTTCTGCAGGGCAATGGAACATACAAGATCTTCTGGTTTTAAAGCTGCCTTATAGGCAGCTGAGCACCCCAGCCTCACCTGTTCATACTCCCTAGCTTGCCTCTGCATCCCAGTCATATTTAAATACAGCCTGATGTCCGTCTGCACAAGGCTCCCTGTCACCTACAGCCATCTGTGCGTGCTATTGCTAGTGCTTAAAAGATTCATCCTTCTCATTCACCTGGCGAAAATACAAGTTATCCTATAGGACTGAGTTTAGATATTGCAGCCTGTGGGAAGCCTTCTTTGATTCACTAAATGGTTATGTAGCCCCATTACCTGCTCCTATAAAACCGGTACATCTTCCAGCAAAGTGCTTATCCTGTTGGGTGGTAATTGACAAGTAAGTGGTCTGCCTGTCTACTGGACAGTAAGCTCCTTGAGGTCTGGAGCTGCCTCGCTATCACCTATATCCCGGCCAAGATGGCCAAGAAGCACATGAAAAGTGTTCAACATCACTAATTCTTAGAGAAATGCAAATCAAAACTACAATGAGGTATCACCTCACACCAGTTAGAATGGGCATCATCAGAAAATCTACAAACAACAAATGCTGGAGAGGGTGTGGAGAAAAGGGAACCCTCTTGCACTGTTGGTGGGAATTTAAATTGATACAGCCACTATGGAGAACTGTATGGAGGTTCCTTAAAAAACTAAAAATAGAACTACCATACAACCCAGCAATCCCACTACTGGTCATATACCCAGAGAAGACCATAATTCAAAAAGACATATGCACCCCAATGTTCATTGCAGCACTGTTTACAATAGCCAGGTCATGGAAGCAACCTAAATGCCCATCGACAGACGAATGGATAAAGAAGGTGTGGTACATATATACAGTGTAATATTACTCCGCCATAAAAAGGAACGAAATTGGGTCATTTGTAGAGACATGGACGGATCTAGAGACTACCATGCAGAGTGAAGTAAGTCAGAAATAGAGAAACAAATATCGTATATTAACGCATATACGTGGAGCTAGAAAAATGGTACAGATGAACTGGTTTGCAGGGCAGAAACTGAGACACAGATGTAGAGAACAAACGTACGGACAGCAAGCGGGGAAAGTGGCGCTGGGGGGAATGGTGGTGTGATGAATTGGGAGATTGGGATTGACATATATACACTAATATGTATAAAATGGATAACTAATAAGAACCTGCTGTATAAAAGAAATAAAAGTTCAAAAAACAAAAACAAAAAAATGAATACAATCCTCTGTGAAATTTTTGCAGATATTCCCAGTGTGACATATACCTTTGATCTTATGTTTCATGTTTTTAACATTTTTAGAATTTTATACACATTTATCAATCTTTTCATCTGTGAATTGCTCAATTGCTTTTCCATGTAGCACATCTTGCTACATACCATATGAGCTGTTAGAGATGTTAGATATATTGTCTTCCTACTTAGATATATACTTATAAGATATATTTTCCTCTGGCTTCATTAGTTTCTTTTGTTTACATTTAACTTCTTGGCCCATTTAGAATTTATTTGGGAAAAGTAGTGTGAGAAAAGTCTCTAACTAGACTGTTTTTCTTTTTTTTACAAAGTAGCCTAATACCTTCTCTTGGGCTTCAATGAAATGTTATTAAAGGCAATTGTATTGAAATAATCAGCATCTGAAGACATAGCTCAGTGTTCACTGTGAACTCTGTTTCCCCCCACCAGGTGAGCAGGAACCAGCTATAAGCAGTGATTCTGACATCTCGCTGATCATGGCAATGGAGGTTGGACTGTCTGATGTAGAACTTTCCACCGACCAAGACTGCGAAGAGGTGAAATCTTGAAATGGCGAATATAGAAAAAAGGGATGATAGGACCCAAGGGGAAGGAAGGGAGGAGTGCCCCAAGACTGGACCAGGCACATGCACCTCCAGAACACCTTGGCAACTCCAGGGCACTCCACACAAGAATGGTACCGAAAAGCAATACCCAAAGTCACGTTCATCAGGATGCAGCTTCTCCGTCTGTACAACAGCTCATGGCCTTGGCACCTTTGACGGTGAAAGCTGATTTTCTCTCCCATGTCCTTGTAGGCACACACTTCCGAAGTTCCTCAAAGAGCCTGAAAAGACACTTTTAGGGCTTCTTAGTTTCATTTCAGTTTCTTCTTTTCCTGTTTGGGGAATGTTGTTGATTTCTTTGGCGCTTTCTTTTTAAGAACTACGTGTAGTTTATGTTCACTCTTTTGTTTTTCCTTTGATTCACTCCAGCTTTTGTACAGAGTTCTGTTTAGAAGCATCAGTTCCTGCTATGACCAGTTTGTATTCCATCTCTGAGATTAATGGCCTTGACCTCTCAGCATGAAGTGTGCATGGCTTTAGGAAGTGCCTCAGCACCTTGAAACAGTCTAAGGCCAGCTTTCGTTTAGAATCTAAATTCTTTTAAGTGGATCTTGGAAATGCCAGCTGCCAGAGACCCCAACACCAAGCTCTGAATCTGCTGAGGCCACCACTGCTCATTTTTTTCAGCTCCACACACTGGCTTCCACTTGCCAGGCTCTGTTAAGGACCCACGTGACTTGAGAAGGAAGCTCTAGGGAGGCACTTCAATCCATCTGATTCTTAACAGTCTTTGGCTGAAATTCTGAACTCACAAGTCCCCACTAGGGCATTAGCGCCATTCTCTGTGGCTGTAGGGCTTGTCCGTCACTGGGACTGCAAGCCTAGTTTTCAAACCAGATACCATATACTCTTCCTGAAAGCAAAATTTCTGTTTCCCCAAGGCTACAGCAGTCTTTTGATACCTCCACAAATGGGTTCTGCAGGAGATGGAAGCTTTAGAAAAGATCCAGTCATCTTTGGATCCAACACAGTGAGGGCTGCAGTAGCATCTAGGTCTTACCTTAATTCCAATATGCTTCTGTTCAACCTCGCCAGACCTCGAGGGAGGATTTAGGTAAATCCTTAAGAAAGTGCTTCCCAGGTCTCCCCTGAGTGCGTCTAGATACCAAGTGAGGAGGGAGGTGTGATTTGATAAACCATTTGATCTAAAAAGTACAGCATGGGAATTGTTGATGTCAAGTTTCTCCTGACTGAGACAGACAAAGAGGGAAAGGAAACGAAGTATCAAAGTGAATTCTAAAAACCCACCAGTGTTTTGTTGTTGTTGTTGTTGTTGTTTTTGTGGTACGCGGGCCTCTCACTGTTGTGGCCTCTCCCGTTGCGGAGCACAGGCTCCGGACACGCAGGCTCAGCAGCCATGGCTCACGGACCCAGCCGCTCCGCGGCATGTGGGATCC